TACTACTGTGAAAAAGCCTACCTTTCTTCCACTCAATATAATGGTAGATATTTTTAAGGAAGTGGATGGGTTCATTTTGGTGGATATGATTTGAAAGAACAGATTTCTCAAGGCACTTACATGTACTTAGAACCAGGATGGCACAGTTTACAGTTTAGCAGACTTAGTTATTTAAAAGATATTATCCCACTTCCCTGCTAAAAGAAATTAACTATCACCTTTGATTTAGTTATGTCTCTAAGATGTGTAAATAGTATGTAATAAATCATTTCTTTTAGTCACAAGGCTTAATGTGATAAAGCAAATATACGCTGTATATATCATGCACTACTAGTTAAGCTATTTTTTTAAAATTCAACTGTCTTTTGTCTTTTTTTTTTGCTAAGAAAATATTTAATCTTGTAGCTGAATTGCACATCTAGTAGAGAAAAATCTAATAGAATAACTTGTAAAATCTCTACTTCATCAAATTACTTCAATATCTGATAAACACCTTATGTGAAAAATGCTGGATTATGTTCCACAGTGTCTGCAATTGAAGTTTAAGCAAGCAGGTCCCTCTTTCAGTTTGTATGTTGTTATATTGAATATATTATCAATGTTACAGAAAAGATTCAGATATTATAAGTGAGTGGAGAAACTTATCTGTAGAACAAATTCATTCCATTAGATTCATTGAGTAGTAGCAAGGTTCAAAATTTTGAATGGCCTTTAGGGATGGAAAAGTTGCAAAGTACTAATGCAGATACAAAAAACACCTCCTTTGAGTTATACTTTAATGCAGATCCATTCATGGCTAGAAAAGAAAAAAAAAGTTATCTTACAACTGGTTCATAATTAGTTTAAGACATCTTTAATAATATATGCACATAATTACAGAATATTATTTATTTAAAGAAATATTTTATTTAACTTTATTTTAATTTGGTTGGGGGGGGGGGGGGAGAGAGAGAGAGAGAGCCAGGTCCAGGACTTGAACTGTAGTCTGCCATGTGGGAGTCTAGCACCTTAGCCACTAGTCAGCCTTGTGGTAGTCCAGTGCCCTTAACCACCATGCCACCTACCAGCCCCTGGAATATTATTTAAAATGATATGCATAAAACCAAAGAAAACACATTGCACTTTTGTGGAGTTTGTGTGTGTATTTTTTTTTAAAGACAAGGATTTCACTGACTGCCTTCAAAGTATGTATTTCAAATGATTTTAAGGGGGAGGAATGGAAAATTGAGATTTCCTCCTTAGTGTCATATTTAAATGTTAAATATGTCCACATATCTGTTAATGAATATAGGTTTTTCATCTGTGAAAATACTTAACATATATTTTTTACTTGCTCCCTGTCTCAATAGAGCCTCAGATATCAAGTCTGATGTTTATGCACAATTTCAATGAAGAGAGAAGCAAAGGTTGTTATTTTATAGACCTTTTATTTGTCAGAGCTTCATATACTTTCCACCTCTGGGCATATGTGGTTAGCGGCAATTGCTTATGTCTTAACTTGCAGCATCAAATTATCCCTGACTGAAAAATTTTAAATCTTATGCTTTCTTGGGACCAGGAGATGGTGTAATGGTTACATTGCTGGACTCCCAAGTCCTGGACCTGGTGGCTTAAAACTCATGCTGGGCATGTATGCGTGCATGTCCAAAATGCTGAGAGGAGAAGAGAAGAAGGGATTGCAGTGTGGCCATTCCCTCCCACCCCCACTTGAGGGTGATTTCTCACTTTATGTCTCTCTGTCTCTCCAGCGAGTGCATGCACCCTATAGCAAAAATCACTCGCTAAAAAAAATTCCTATGCTTTCTTTTGTCACTCATCTGGTTCTTGGGCTATCAAGTACACTTTACCAGTTGATAATTATTAATAAGTAACACACAGATAATTGATTGCCAGAGTAAAACAACTTACTTCAAAACTCAAAATATGCAGTTATTTTTATTTTGGAGTTACTAAGCATTGGTTGCTTCACATTGATGATACACAACCATATTTATAAGATTGATGCCTGAGACAGCACATGGCATAATGGTTATATTGCTGGAGTCCCACGTAGTCAACCATGGTTCAAGTCCTGGACCCGATGACTTAAAACTTATGCTGGGTGTGTGTGCATGCATGCCCAAAATCCTGAGAGAAGAATGGAGGAGAAAGGATTGTGCTGTGATCATCCCCCTGGGGCAATTTCTTGTTTTCGGTCTCTTTTCTGTCTCTGTCTGTCTGGTGTGCGCACATGCCCTATAACAAAATAAAAAATAATAATAATAAAAGATCAATGCCTGTATTGTACTTGAAAAAAGGCTTCAGAGCAAAAACTTTTGTGAATTTTTTTGTTTATTCAAATATGTGAATTTGTTGAACCAAAGATAAGCTTTAAAGTGAGTCCTTTACAAGATGCTTAATTTTATTAACTAAGCTGAAGTGTAACTTAAAAATTTCTTTAGAGGTTCTGCAGAATGCTTGATTGATATTTGTCTATTTATCTATTGTTCATCTCTGTATACTTAAGCATTTTGACTTTTGCTGAAGTATAATAAAATGCACATATAAAATGCACATATTATAAACATTTAACTAAATGAATTTTCCTAAGCTTAGCACACATAACATCTAGATTGAGAAAAAGAACATTAGTACTCCAGAAGCCCTTACGTTCTCTCGCAACCAGTACCAAATATAACCCCTTCTTGATTTTAATAACCATAAGTTAATTTTACCTGCTTTTGGTACTTAAGCAGTTTGACAAGTGAAGATATCATTACAAAGCAAAGGTTATCATTCTTGCAATGTCTTAAGTCAAATTCTGTATAGTTTGGTATTCTCTCTGTATTTTTAAATTTGCTAGAGAGACAGGGAAGGCATTCCACCTGAGAGGAAAGTCATGCCACAGTCTTTTCACCTCCATCTCTCCCATATTTCAGGACTTTGGGCTCACACAGACGTGCCCACACCCAATGTGTTTCTCAAGCCGTCAAGTCTGAGACAAACCATGCAATTGACCAGGTGGGATACAACCACCTTTACCACCACATCATGAGCTGACCTAGTTTGGTATTATCAGCCTTATTTATTTTTTTTATTTCTGACCATTGCACTCAAAGAATATTGTACATTTCTCTAATCACTATCTGTGACTTACTATTAAATCTCTTGCAGTAGTGTGGGAGTATATAATAATGAAAAAAGCCCAACATTATTCTGTTGTATTAGCAGGGTCTAACCTCAGCATTATTATCATTTCAGGCTGGATAATTCTTTGTTGTGAGGACTGTGCTGCATGTCGTAGACGTTTACTAGCATCCATGGCCTCTACCCGCTAGATGCCAAGAATGCTTGCCCACCCTCATTATGAAAATGTCTCTAGACATTGTTAAATATCTCCTGGGATGCAAAATTACTCCTGGAGAGAACTACTATGCTAAGAAATATGTGTCTTCTATTTGATAACCACTACTTTGAAGGTCAACAAGTCAAAAAAATAAAGGTTTTTAAGAAAATGGCTTTTAGTCCTTTATAAGAAAGATTTAATAATTAGCTCCCATAGCAATGGATTGGACTACTTAGACAAATGCTAAGATTTGTGTCACCTGGTCACCTTGAGGGTGTTGTAGGTGATAAATATTAAAGTACATGATGTTCAAAGGACTTCCCAGCTGCCTCACTGTAACGTGGGATTTAAAGCTAGAAGATCTTACAATCTAGTGAGAAAGATACACATCTTTCTTTCAAAATGTTCTAAAAATTATAGTCTAGAGGAATTAATACCGTTTATGATATTGTAAAATAAATTCTGTTAAAACATGCCTTTTTTGCATTCTCTTTTTTTTTTTTGAGAGTTTTTTTGCTATAGGGCACATGTGCTCGCCAGAAAGAGAGACAGAGAGACAGAAAGCAAGAAATAACTCCCCAGGGGGCATGGCCATGCCACAATCCCTTCTCCTCCATTCTCCTCTTGGGATCTTGGGCACACACGTACACGCACCCAGTGTGAGTTTAAGCCATCAGGTTTGGGACTTGAACTGCAGTTGACTACGTGCGAATCCAATGACATAGCCATTATGCCATTATGCCAATTGCTGATCCCTTCTTTTGCATTCTCTACTCCCCTTTATAACTGTCTAAGAAATTTGCTTACTACTTAGAATAGGGGAAAACTTTTTAATAGAATTAGTTCAATAACTCCTGAGATTTGCAAGGAGAGAAATAGAATTAGTTTATTTTTAATGGTAATCATCCTTGTTAAGATAAAGGTCATATCTAGGGACCAGCAATTAGTGTAATGGCTATGTCACTGGACTCCCATGTAGTTGACTGCGGTTTGAGTCCCAGACCTGGTGGCTTCAACTCATGCCAGGCACATGTGCGTGCGTGCCCAAGATCCTGAGAGGAGAATGGAGGGGAAGAGATTGCAGCATGGCCATCCAGCCTCGGGGGTGATTTCCTTCTTTCTATCTCTCTGTTTCTCTCTGTCTTTCTGGTGAACACACGCACCCTATAGCAAAAACCTCTCCCAAAAAAAAAGATCATGTCTAATTTATTATAGTTTAAATAATTATACTATCCCATATATGAATTTTTAAAGTTTTAAATTTCCATTCTATGTCAGTAATAGAAACATGGAAAGTCTTAAGAGAAAAAATGTTCAAAGATATTTATATGTGTGTGAGTGTCTGTGTGTGTGTGTGTGTGTGTATTTTTTTTGGAGAGAGAGATTTTTGCTATAAGGGCACACCTGCCAGAAAGACATAGGGAGACAGAGAGACAGATAGTGAGAAATCACCCCCTAGGTGGAATGGTCATGCCACAATCCCTTCTTCTCTCAGGATTTTGGGCATGCACGTATGTGCATGTGCCTGGTGTGAGTTTTAAGGACCATATCCGGGACTTCAACCATGGTCAACTAAGTGGGAGTTCAGCAATGTAACTTTACGGCATCTCCTGGTCTCAAAGGTATTAATATTTTTCCTCAGTTTTTGAAAGTTTTTAAGACAGTCAAAATAGGGCTAGAAATACGCAAGTGAACTTACGCGAGTCCATTTGTCTTCTGTTTTCTCAATCACAATAGTCTGTGTATCACTACCTGGTGGTATATATTCATAGTCATCATAAAGGAGACCTAGTATTGGATACTGTGTCCTGTACCTATATACAAAGAAAAGAGTTAGTTTACAGGCTACATGAGAAAATAATTCCCATTCATTTTTAGTCATTCCTGGTTTGATCCCCTTATTAAATCAACGTGGCCCTGAATGACTTTTTACCTGTTTCTTAATTCCTTCTAAATGAACAAAGATTTGTCAATTTTATTTTAAAGAGAATAAAGGAGAGGGACTGCTGCATCTGGCCTTGATGGGCTACAGGCAGCACAGGACAATGATCCTAGAGTAAAGAACTAAATAATACGAGCTCTACAATATGAGCCTAGCTCTCTACCAGGAGAGATTTTCTTGGTCACGGAATAGGGAAAGGTATGCAAAACATTCCAGCAGTCTCAAATTGAAGTTTAGAGTAAAGGTAGGCCAAGGTAGACCGAATTTGTGGGGCAGAGTATGAGGCAAGAGAGAGCTACACAGATGGGAGAGAGGTCAGGAGACTTGTAGAGGATTCCTCATGAGTCTTTGCGTAAGTACTTCTCAGTGTATGCACATGAAGCTACTGAGAAGCTAAGGAAAGAACCACTGGGAAGGAGCAGACTGGCAATGCTGGAGCTCAAGGAATTATAATATTTTGTGTTCTACTAACCAGAGTGAAAAGACAACCCAATATAAAGACATCAAGTAGACAGCACAGGATATTATTGCCTTAGTGATGTGATGAAATTAGCTTTAGGCTATAGGTAGTTCTTTTAAAAGATGTGCATATATTGGATTGTCAGGAAAGTCATGATGCATTTTTGCATAGAAAAACAAAAATACATCATGACTTTCTTGACAACCTAATATATTTTTAAAAGACATGTTCCCAGTTTTTTAAAAATTATTTATGTATTTATTATTATTTTTTATTAATTCACTATAGAGCATATATTCTCACTAAAAAGAGACAGAGAGAAAGAAAGTGGAAAGCAAGCCACCCCATCTGGGACTTGAACTATGGTCAACCATGTGGGAATCCAGTGCTTTAACCACCATACTGCTTGCTGGTCTCTTGACAACCTAATATTAAGCTGTTTTTTAGTAACTTAACTTTATCTCAGAACAAACCTCTTAATATTTTAAGTAACACCTCCCCCAAATTCAGAATTCAATACAAAAATCACAATATACACCATTCAATAAAAAATAGTCATGCAATGAAGCAGAATGATATGACTAATAATGAAAAGACACATAAGTTAGTAGAAAGAGACCAAGAAACAACAGATGAAAAATGAGTAGGCAAAGATACATCTGTTAGGAACATACAAAATATACAATGTGTATATTCAAGAAGTTATAGAAATACATGTGCACAATAACAGAAATGGAGGATATAAAAAAGATTCACACTAGACTTCTAAACATTAAAAATATACATCATTGGATAGGATTAACAGTAGATTAGGTCCTGCAGAGGAAAAGAAAAAATGAAACATGAGAGGGAGCAGCAGATGTTATGCTGGTTAAGGCTCTGGACTCCCACATGGCCAACTGTGGTTTGAGTCCCAGACCCAGTAGCTTGAAAATCATACCAGGTGCATGTGCATACATGCCAAAAACCATGAAAGGAGAACGGAGTTAAAGAGATTGCAGTGTAGCCATCCCCCAAAAGGTGATTTCTCACTTTCTTTCTCTCTTTCTTTGTCTCTCTGTAGCAAGTGCCCATGCCTTATGGAAAAAACCTAAAAAAAGAAACATGAGGAAAAAAGACAAAAAAATGTACTCAGCACTTGTTATCTATAAAAAAAAATCAAGTACTTATATATCTATATATATAGATATATATACACACACACATATAATATATACATATGTATACATATATTGATATAAACTACCTTCATATGTGTTTGTCTCTATATATTATATATAATATATATAGACATATAAATAAAATTAAATTGTGTGTCTATATATATATATACTGAGAGAGAAACATATAAATAAAATTAAATTCTTACAGTATTGGAAAATGACTCAAGATAATTGAAAATGTAATGACTACATTATTTCCAAATTGAATGAAAACTAAAAATACATAGATATTAGAAACTTAGTGAGCCTCAAGAAAAATAAACATGAAGAATACCATAGAGGGGCACATCATTACCAATTTGCTTAAAAACAGTGGTAGAGAATCTTAAAAATAGTCAGAAAAAACAAGAACATTATTCAGAGGAAAAATCATAAGGTAAAGATCAAAAATCTCATCAAACCTAATGAAATCAGAAAATAGTCAAGTGGCATTTTAAAGTACTTTTTAAAAACCTATCAGCTTAATAGTTTATACACTCAAAAATATCTTTGGATAATGAAGACAAAATAGAGACTGTTTTCAGACTTAAAGAGCCCAGAGATAATCTTCACCAGAGGAGGGAGCAGCATGATTAAAAATATTAAAGGGGGGCCAGTCAGTGGCATAGTGGGTAAGGTGGTTAGATCCCACACGGTCAACTGTGAGGTTTTTGAGTCCCGGACCTACTGGCTTGAAAAACACAACAGATGTGTGTACATGTGTGACTCTCAGATCTTTGTGTCTTAAGTAGTACTTCGATGCATGTTTAAGGTGATCCTCTGTTGGACAGGAGTCACAAGTGGTGACCCGACATGATTTGAACATGCAACCTTTTGATGATGTTCTGTCATTTTCAAGTAGGAAAGCAAGAAGTTAGGCTTTTATTTTATTTTATTTTATTTTTTGTAATTTTCCCTGCAGTCATTCATTCTAAGTTCATAAATCTTGCTATAGCGCATGTGCTCTCAACAGAGGGACAGAGAGCGACAAAGAGCAAGAAATCATGCCCTGGGGGGATGACCATGCTGCAATCCCTTATCCTCTATTTTTGTTTCAGGATCTTGGGCATGATTACATTCTATTTTTTTAACATGGGACAAATAGAAAAAAAAATGGTAAATTTAAATCCTGACATATAGACAATCATATTAAATACTAAGTGGTCTAAATACTTCAATTAAAAGGCAAAAATGATTAAACTGGATAAAAACTCAAGATACAAATACATATGCTATTTGTGCAAAAAATCCAAAAAACAACATTTAAATATAACTGAATGAATATATTTGTGATAAATATATTTTATATATTTTATATAAATATACATTTATATATAAAATATTCATTACAATATATAACTACGTATACTTTTTTTTTTTTCAGTAAAAGGATGGAAACATATATACCATACAATCTCTAATTAAACTGAAGCTGGAATAGTTATATTATTGGGTTTTCAGAAAAGTCATAATGATACTAATAGTAGCAGATGAAGTAGACTTCAGAACAAGATGCATTAATACTGATCAAAAGGATCATTTCATGATAGAGGATTTAGTTATTCAGCAAGATGTATCAATCCTAAATATTCATTCATCAATAGAACATAACAATCCTAAATGTTTATGTACCTTCTAGCAGCAGTTCAAAATATATAAAGGAAAAACTAAGAGAAATAGAAGAAGTATACAAATCCACAATTAGATTTGGAGATTTTGGAATGCCTTTCAATATAACTGAAATAAGAAGTAGAAAGAAATCAGTAAATATATAGATATAAACAACACTATTAATCAAGTTGACCTAAATCAATATTTATAAAACACTCCACCCATCAACAACAGAATACAAATTCTGTTTACAAACGTATATGAAATAGTAACCATGACAGTCCTTATTCTGAGCCACAAAACAAGTCCCATATAAATTTAAATTGATCAAAATAATATAAAATATGTCCTCTGACCATTATGGAAAAAAATTAGAAATCAGTAATAGACATCTGGAAACTTCCCAAATATTAGAAACTAAAGAACACAATTCTAATTAACCCACCAATCAAATGACATATGGAAAGCGAAAAAAGAAAATATTTTGGACAGAATGCAAATAAAAACACAGCTTATCAAAATTCGAGAGGGCTGCCAGTTTCAAGTTCATTAAGGCAGCTGGATCTCACATGGCTAATTGTACAGTTTGAATCCCACACCTGGCAACTTAAAAGAAATGCTAGGCTCCTGCATGCCAAAATCCTGAGAGGAAAATGGAGGAGAAGGAAGTAGAGCACGGTCATCTCCCCTAGGGAGTTCTTTCTTATTTTTCCTTCCAGTTCTTTCTGCCTCTGTCTGGTGAGCACACACACTCTAGAACAATCTAAAATCGAAGAATTTGGGGATACAGGAGGCCAGATGGTGGTGCAGTGATAAAATGCAATTTTCTGCGAGGCTAACCCACATAGGTAGATTCCAGGTTCATGTTCAAATATCACCCTGAGCATGCCAGGCATGCATGTGCCCATGATCCAGGGCTAAGACTGGGTGTGGATTGTGGCATCAAGACCATGTTGAGTACACTGTCTCTCTTTTGTCTCTGTATCTCTCACTCATAGAAGAAATATAAAGGAAAAAAATAAGATAAATAAAAATTTGGGGGATAGGGGACAATAGGTGGTTTTGTAGTTAAGGCACTGAACTCCTACATGGCTGACTGCGGTTTGAGTCCCAGACTTGGTGACTTGAAAATCACACCAGGTATGTATGCATGCGTGCCCAAAAATCACAAGAGGAGAATGGAGGAAAGGGATTGCAGCATGACCTCCTGGTTGCTGATTTCTCACTTTTCCCCTCACTGTCTGTCTCCAGTGAATGCATGCACTCTATAGCAAAAACCTAAAAAGAAAAATAAATTAGGAGATACAGCTAAAGCAGTGCTTAAGTTAAAATTTATGGCATTAAAAACTTATAAAAGAATGGTTGGGACCAGCAGTTAGCGTAATGGCTATGTCGCTGGACTCCCACGTAGTCGACCAAGGTTCGAGTCCTGGACCTGGTGGCTTAAACTCACGCTGGATGCGTGTGTGTGCATGCCCAAGATCCCGAGAGGAGAATGGAGGAGAAGGGACTGCGGTGTGGCCATCCCCCCGGGAGGGTGATTTCTCTCTTTCTATCTCTCTGTCTCTCTCTGTCTCTCTGGCAAGCGCACGCACCTTA